GAGTGAAAAAATAAGTAATAAGTGCCTTATAAATAGAATCCCAGAATTTATGGCAAAACTATTTGGAGAAAGTGGAACAAATTGGCTTGCTCTATTTTGCCTCAAAGCAGGCCATCTCAAATTGAGAAGTCCCACGAGTCCTACGTTTATTTTTACTTTTAACAGAAGCAGAACCTTGTTGAGGGCACTGAATGAACATGAAGTTTTCCATTGCTTTAAGTGGCTTCATTTGACATTCTTGAATGAAGCAAGAAGTGATTCTCTCGGTTCCATCGAAGAGACACTTGGGCCTATGAGCTCCTTTTCTCAGTGATATGATGAAATATCTGAGAAGAGTCAACTCTAGAGAGGAGGGGCTTTATTTAGGCTCACCATTTGACACTATGCTCCATTATGATGTAGAAGGCATGACTGCAGGAAGATGAGGTAGCTAATCATATTGCTCTCAAAGTCAGGAAGCAGAAAGGGATGGATGTAGGTGCTCAGTCACTTTTCATTCAGTCTGGGAGCCCAGCCCCCACAATGTGCTCCAGCCCAAGCTGCTGCTCTGGTCCAGCGGTCAGGGTCTAGCAAGAGAGAGAGTGGGGATGGAGGGGCAAGAGACGCGAAGAATAGAGACAAGACAGAGGGTCTGATCAAGTCTCTCTTTATTGAAAGGAAATCCTGAGTATTTGTATGCTTTACCACGTGCCTTGCCCTTGTGGACAAGCAGGAGAACACAGATGAAGGCACTTTGCCATGTGCCTTGCAGTGTGGATACCATGTGCGCCGGGGCACTAAGCAGCAAAACAAGATATGTGAGAAAAACAAGATGTTTATCAGAGTGTGCTCAGCTGTTGCGGGCTGTTGAAAACAAGTCTCTTGTCAGGGTATATGGCCTGAGATGGCTGCAAAGATGATAGCCGCTTTCTGCTAGGAGGCGGCTCCCAACAAGGATGGTGCTGCTCAAAGATGGACTATGTCTTCCTACTCTCTGTTTCTGCTCTGTGGATGTGAGGAGATTAACTGCTTCAAATTCTTTCCTTCCTTTCCTTGTAGTAATGGAATATAACCTGGAATTGTGAACTGAAAACAAACATAAACAAACACCTTTTTTTTTCCTGAGTTTCTTATCACATTAAGTTCCTGGTAAGTTACTTTATCACATTACCAGAAACGAAACTGAGATACAAGTCCTCTTTTGTTTTGTCACATGCTGATCTAACATTGAAAACCTCACATGAAGACACCCATGACATGGCTGTCAGACCACCATTAGGGAGACTGAGGCAGGAGAATGACAAGTTTCATTTCAGCCTAGTCTACATAATGAGACCCTGTTTTCTAGGAAGAAAATATGCACACATATAACATATAGAATTAGACATAGATCATCAAGTGGTTCCCTTTCCAGTTAAACCAATAAATATGCATACATGGGCAATTGTATTCAGTTCCACCCCACCTGTACACACACACACACACACACACATAGACACAGGCATACACATACTTAAGAAATAAGTTTTTAAAAATAGATTAATTACTTCTTCCTGGTTAGTAATCTTTAAGATATTTTTATTTATTTGTTTTTTATTTATGTATATGTTTGTGTTTGTGAGTCTGCATGACCTGATAGAAACTGTGTGAGTCCAAGAACCAAAAGAGGGTATTGGATTTCCTGACACCCAAGTTATAAGTGGAGATGCACTCCCAGACTGGTTCTGAGAACTGAACTTTGGTCCTTTGAATCAACAATGTGCAGCTTAATCACTGAGCTAATCCTCCAGCCCTCTCAAAGTAATTTTACACATTGTCCCAGTTATTCTAAGACAGAAATCAGCAGTATGTTGCCTGTGAGCTCACTATGATCCATGGACTCAGAATAGGTTTCATAATGTAAAATAAATTATATGAAATATATATGCCAGAATCTGTTGACACTATACTCAGTTGTTGAGTAACTGTGAAGCACCTTATGGCTGGTTTTCAATGATAACAAACTTACTAATTGCAAGGAGGCTAATACCTTATACCCTTGTCAGAAATGTTTGCTGATCGATACAAACCTGCCCCTTCTTATGGGTTAGGTCTTCCCCAAACCAACATGATCAAGAAGGCATTGGTTTAAGAGTGCTGTAAATGTTGTCAAGCTCCTGAGATGCAACACCAACTTTTTGTGAGGATTAGAATCATTAAAATAACAGGTTTTAAAGCAGAAAAAAGTAGACATCTATTTCGATTATATTAAGCCCAATGGGTAAATGAAAGTAAAGTAAACTGGTTTTGACCTTTTAATGATCACTTCACATTTCCTTTTGGCATCCTCAGTATTACCTGGAGGTGTGTGATTGATAGAGCAAAGGAAGAGGAAATAAAGCCTGTTTGGTAATCATTCCTGTTAAGCTGCCTGAATTGTACTTGAGAAATCCACATAGTGGTGGGAGATTATTTGAATGAGTGATATAAACACTTATGATTTGACAAATCATGGTAGTACTTTCAATTCTAAATCAATCCTGTACATTTCTAAAGTTTGCCATTGAAACTGAGCACCTGGCCTAGTGGCCTCAACCTCAGCAGTCCCCAACACTGTTGTTCTCCCTGGTAGTAGATAAATGAGGAGACATTTCATATATACAAACGCTGCTTTCCTGTGCTTAGAGACAAAGTACTCAGTTTAACCACAGAGGTAGAATACTATAGGGGACTCTTGGAGCAATGTAGCTAAACTCCACAGACAAGTGTTCACCAATAAACATCATTTCAAATAAAGATTTGGCATCCAGGACACAAAACAATTGCACTGTGCATAGCCACAGTTTATCTCAGCACCAGGAAAATTACATTAGATGCTAGTCCACCTGATTTCCACTTGGACTGACTTTATATCCATAGAATCAGTCAACCACAGATCAAAAATATTTTTAATTGTATCTTCATTGAATATGTAAAAGCATTTTCTTCTTGTTATGCCCTAAATAATACAGAAAGACACCTGTCACATTATCTTTATGTTACGAGCCATCCAGAAATGCAGAGATTATACACTGGTGTTATCTATATTAGGGCCTTGAGCCTGTGAATTTTTAGCCTTGTTGGAGAGGTATCCATTGTGTTTAATGAGTAAACACTATACTTTATAGATGGTAAAACTTGCTTACTTATCATGATCTAATTCTGGAACTTTCTAAGGCTTTGCCAGCATATAGTGGTAGTTCTGAATGTTCAGAGTAGTGGTATGCTAAGAACCAGCCTCAGGTTGGAAAGGGGTTCTGAGGTGAGGTCCTTGAGGGCAGTGAAACAAACTAATAGAAGTCAAATTATGGGTTATAAGCTGATGGCTTATGTTCTGCTTGAGATATCTATCCAGATTGTTCTCTCTGTGTGTTCTGCTTGAGACAACTTTCTCTTGAAATCCAAAAAATTCCCTGGATAGCTCATCTCTTACACATCAAAAGCCCAGTCTTTTATTTACATATAAATTCAGTTATTACCTCAGGTTCCTTTTTGATTATCTCATGAATCAGCATCGTGTAACTCCAGCCCATTGATTCATAGAAGGAGACAGTAAGCACATTCTTTTTTAATATTGTAAAAGAATTCAGAGGTCTGCCTGCCTTTGTTAAACACAGACAATGACCTAGCTGATTGGGACCCTGTCATGAAATTACCATTCCTAGAATGCCTGGGCCTGGGCCTAAACTTCCTCTGTCCCAGGTTGACTAGGAATATGTCTGCCCTTATAAGCACAAATAAAAAACTTAGCTGGGTAGAATCTTTCCCTGCAATCACCATTCCCTAAATCTCTTAACCTCCTGCCTTAGTATCTTTCTGTCAAGCTGGCTTTATAGTGCAGCTTCCTCTGTTCTTTTAGATCTGTGAAGTTCTTTATACAATTCATATTGTATCCTTGTATTTTGCAGAGTTGATAAATTGTATATTTTTGAACACATGTTTCCATAGTTTTTTTTCCCCACAGCCTTAAGGACTGTCAGGAAGGTCTCAGCATTTACAATTTTGCTAAGAATTTAGACATTCCTTCACCTTCCAGACTTGTGCTGTCTGTGATTATCATGAAGTCATTATCTTTGGCAGAGAGGACATTCCTTGAAGGAAAAACATGAAAATATGTACACTGTTATACAAACAAGCCTTATGTCCACAGCCACCACCAATGCTTGTGGAGGACTATGCCCTGCTGACTCTGATCCAGGGGCAGAAACCAGGTCATGCCATCTCTTGTATGGTTCAATCAGACTCAGTAGTGGTAGAACTGAATTTCTAGTGTACAGTGATGCTGTGTCCCATGTCTTACTGAGTATATCTCCAGTCTTTTTGATTCTTAGGGTCTTTATGACATGAGCATTGTTTAGCCCTTGCAATTCAAATCACATTACAACAGTAGCAATAGAAGATGCCACTATCTAGATGACTGAGCTGACCATTGGAGAGCAGAGAGGCATTGTAAACAGTTCTGAGAAATTGATTACATCTACTTTTTAAAAAATAAACGTTACTTTGGTAAATTCTCACCTTATTATATTATTCTGATATCTTTGACAATCTCAATCTCATAGAAATCTTTCTTAATATGGTGGGAAAAGGTTCCTAGGGTGAGTCTTACAGGTGGACTGTGGGAAAATAGTCTACTTTCAGACATGATAAGCACCAAGATACCTCAGTTGTATACTTTTAGTCCCCCTTTCCTATTTATGATTCATTATGATCAAGGTCCTGAGAGAAGGAATTGAGAGATCAAATCACATCTCCTGCATCCATCATTGATAAAGACAAGAAATGTGAAATCCTTTCAAATACTTTCATGCCTTCGTTTCAGAATAGAGTTGTCCTGTTTTGCCCAAATCAATTTAAGATGTGAAGGCAAGTAACAACCGACCTCTACTTGAAGCATCTCAGGAGACTGTCAGTGATCCGATTTAAAAACAGGTGTGATAGTGCCATGAGACATTTGATCTGTTGGTTTCAAAGGATATCTCCCTCCTCTTTCTCTTCTCCAGGCTCACAGGCATGAACCTCCCATCCCCTGTGATCAGCAGCAAAAACTGGCTCCGTCTCCACTTTACATCTGACAGCAATCACCGGCGTAAGGGGTTCAATGCTCAGTTCCAAGGTAAGAAGGCACTAACTGAATAAATGAAAAATAAATAAGTAACTGCCAGGAACATCCTGGTCCTTCTTCATTCTGAGATTTTGTGATATTACCAAAGAAAGAAAAGGAAACTTATTTTTAAAAATTCTCCCATTTATGTAGAAGCAATCAACTTTGGAAGGTGTGTAGGAATGATGGGCCAACACTGGTTAACGATCCGTGGGCCTCTGACAGTCTATGACAGTAACTGGTTTAACTGAGGCATAATCAAGCATTAGTTTATAAATTTATATTAGCATTCATTGTACTTACCTTCCATATAGCAAATAAACTTTCACTGTAGTTTGTGTTATTACAGGCTTAGAGTAGGTGAGTACACAGGTTGTATTTAAAAATTCAAATGAATCTTGACACAATATTTAGTTTTAAAACATCCTTATACTTGAAAAGCATAGCTATTAGATTTAGTAATTTACACATCATGAGCCTCAAAATAAAGATAATATTATTTAGCCAAACATAACTGTCTTTAGCAGTGTAATTCAGAAATATTCTCTTTGCATCTGATTTCTTCTATCATTTATGCCTGGATCCTGCATATATCTAATTATCAGTAATGTTTATTAATACTGCAGAAAGGGATTCCATTGATAAGTGGGCAACAGAAAATCATTCTACTTACAAAAATTAACATATTCTAAGTTCTGGATGGGGAAGAAGCTCACAGGATCCCATCACTTCCCTGATGAACTTTTGGGTCCCAATAGACACAAGGAGAGGTAAAGTCACTATGTCTTTGTCCATGTGCCCACTGGTGAGTTCCCCTGGATAATTTCTATCCCATAATATCACACAGCCTTGTTTCAACTTTAATTTACAAACAAAAACAAAAGCTGGGCAGGATGACAGGAATTGGAAAGGAAGTTAATTAAAGTGAATTTTATGAGTTATAGATATGCCGAATAATAAATTCAATAATTAAAAATAAAACATTACAAATGGACTCCCTGCACTCTCCCCATATGTGAGCTCCCAACCACATTCCCTCAGTTCGCAAAGCACAGTGTGGTGATTTGAATATGCTTGTCCCAACAGTGGCACTGTTGGGAGGTGTAGCCTTGTTGGAGGAAGTATATGTATCATTGTGGGAGTTGGCCTTGAGACCCTCCTCCTATCTGCTTGCAAGACAATCTTCTCCTGTTTGCCTTGAGAACAAGCTATAGAGTTCTTAGCTCCTCCAGTACCATGCCTGCCTGAACACTGTGATGATCATAGTGGACTGAACCTCTAGTCCTATGAGCCAGCCCCAGTTAAATGTTGTCTTTTATAAGTTACCTTAGTCATAGTGTCTATTCACAGCAATGGAAACCCTAACTCAGACACACAGAAAGTCATACTTATAGTACTGTGTTTTTGTTCCTTGCTTAAGTAGAATAAAGAAAGATATTTCTATGGGATGAAATCTGGGTGGTGTAAAGTTGAGCATAGGGCTAGGGTTTATTGCTGACTGACCAGGCCTTGGAAAAGGTGCAGACATAGATGTCATCTGACCTGGAATCTAGTGGTTTTCCTTCACTCTTGTAAATTTGGGTCCTCATTGGGGTCATGGACCATTGGCCTGCTTTCCCATGTAGTGTTAGAAGTCCTTATCTTTACCCTCAGACTGCAGTCCATCATCCTGGACTTCTACAGTAGGAGTATCCTATGGTTCCACATATCCTGGGTCACAGGCAAAGCCAAGGGCTTTATTGTAACCATAGCTACTTCTGATGGACTGTCTTTAAGGCTACCTAGCTTCTAGCAGTTGCTGTAACATAGTACATGGAAAGGAACTGCTGGTAGAGGGAAACACTGTCCCATAGACACAGATTTGACAGAGTGAAGAAGAGAACACTAGGTCTGGTGGGGAGTATCTCTAAAGCTTCTGTGTGTTCACTGACATCAGTGGAGGGACCTGACTCTGAGTTAAAGTGGCTACATTTGGTCCTTAAAACTCTTCCAGGCTATTCATGTAGTGTGGTGGCTTTGTAGCCTGTGAAGTGCTGAAAAAGAACCTTTTCTTAAAGCTTTGGTTATTTTCTCACCAGTGGAAAATGTTTGCAGTATCACCCCTCAAACCTCATAATTTGTCTGATAGGAATAAGTGTAGAAAATATAATATGTGACTTGAAAGTGACCCAGGCTGAAAGACACAAGTAATACACTGACTATGGGAAAAATCAAATACATACAATTTTAAAATTGTAAAATTTTAATCTACATTTCTGAAATTTGCAAATATATAAAGTGTAAAGTAAAAAGTAATAGAAATAATTATTGCATGTAATTGTAGTCTGATTAAATATAATTTGTACCAGGGTCTAAAAGAGTCTCCAAGTGATGCCAATGTATCAAATCACATAGCCCTGGCTGAACGGCTGTATAAGGAAACCCTGTCCATTAATTCAGGTCCAACGCATTGGAGATAGATGAAGCTACCTCCGTGTTCATGAGCTTCTGTGACTTGGGTGTTATTCTCTGACCACCTCTCAGCAGGTCCCCCCACACACACACGCAAAGGTTGGGTCCAGACTCCATACTTCCCATCCAAAAAGGACATTGTCCTAACAGAGCCATCAATAAAGACATCAGGAAATTCTAAACTGAGTTGTGCCTAATGTAGGACATTTAATTTCCTAGCTCTAGAGGGCAGGCCCATCATCAGCAAAGGAAAACTTCAGGAAGAGACAGAATGCTGGTTCTAGGATAAACTCATGAATGCCAGAGATCAGGATACATGATAGTAACTTAGGATGTCATCTTCCCTGAGTCCTCCCCAGCCACCCAATACAACGTTCTGGCTGAAGTTAGTCTCAGATCACTAGTGAGAAGCTAATTAAATTGTCACATAGGGAAAGACATTCTATATCAGCCCCTTTCCCTCTGCCTGGTTTGAATACCACAGAGCTTCTATACCTATTTTTTTTTAATTTTAACATAGTAAGGGGGATTATCCACACATTTGGTCAATAATTGTAGCAGTCAAAATGCATGCAGAATTTACCAGATTCATGTACCCTACTTTATAAATAGTCCTTTGTAAAAGGTTTAGGGTGTATGGTTGTTTTCTCTAGTTTTTGATAGAAAAAGAGAACTTCAAAAAATGCCTTTGGCAGTTAGAGAAATATGTATACCTGAGTATGATAGAAAATTCTTATAGGCCAGGAAACCAAAAAGGAATAAATGAGGTTGGGAACAAATGAGACATTTCAGGGGAGGTGTGCGGAAGACAATAGAAACAAAGTAAATAGTGAGAAAAATCAGAGCCAAGGAGACATTCATGAAAATAAAACATGTTTGAAAACCGACATGGAGACCTATGACTTCCTGAGCCCATTTAATACATAAAATAAGTTAAAAACACATTTGTAGCTTTGCCACATTGCTGAGCTTTGTGGTGGTCACACTTGTCACTTGTAATCACCCCTACATGGTGATTCTTGAGAATTAAGAAACATGGGACCTCCTGGAAGCCCTCTGTGGCTTCTATCTGCCCTTCACATTCCAATGACCTTCCTCAATGAATGCTTGCTGTGTTCTCTCAAAGGAGATGGTTTCACCGAGGTAAAACTAAAGAAAACATTCTTCTAGTTTTGCAACCTGTCTTAGCTAAGTAAGCAGCCAATGTCATAGGATATCCCCTCTTGTCTTCTCTTGTGCTTTCTAACTATCTATCACCTCCTAATTCCTTCTCCATGATGTCATCTTGCTTCTCCTTAGCCCTTCCCTCCTCATTCCTGCCATCTTGTCATGCCAACAGCAGAGACAGGGATGATTGGCAAGGCAGATAGCTCCATGGCTGCTCCTATAGGTGTACACTCAATTCTAAGATAGTGCTGTGTACAGAAACTTCTGCACAGTAGGCAAAACCCCTCTGATAGATCTGCAGTATCTGCTGCATATATTGGCCTCATAGCATATGACAGATTTATGTAGGACACATTATTTCTCTCAAGCAGCTGAAAATGAAGGCCATTCTTTATACGTTGCCTCCACCATTAATTATAATTAAACAAGAACCTTGTTAGCCCCATCCATCATCTGGGCGTTTTTGATGTCTACAAGATGAATTTTTAAAAAACATATTAATCTTGAACCTTGAAAGCCTATGTCCTGAGTAGGCTTCTCTGAGTTGGGTTCCAGTTCTCAATATATTCACCTGGCTATCAATAAAATCTTGGTTTTCACAAGATGCAACCCCCATTGATTTCTGTAATGAATAAATCATTGTGAAAGAAAGTGTTTATAATAAAGTTCTAATTTAAGTAGGGAACACCCTGTCTCATAAATCAAGCAAAAGTCAGACGGCAGCTTTAAAGCTTGTGTTGACACAAATAATTAGCTTGCTTTTTAGGTTATGGCTCTATATAAGCATCGATTTTCCTTTTATTTAAAACGCAGACCTTTATACAAAATGAGGACTTCTGTGTTATTAAAAATGCATTTGGGAAATTGAAACTTCATGTGCCCAGATTTATAAAACCTATATGTTTCCCATTCTTCCACAGGCACAATCCTTGCAAGTGAATTGTAGACAAGAGCTCTAAAGGCAGGAACCTGCTAGGTCCTAGTGTCAACACATGTACATACCTCTCTCCAGTGAACACTCGATCTGCAGAAGTATAAGGAGCAATAGACAGGGTGAAGAAGACGCTTGCCTGACTTCTCTTAAATCACGAATGCAAAAGGTTCAGATCCATAAAGTGCCCCTAGGCCATTGACTTCAAGAAAGAAGCAGGCTGCTAGGGCTGCTCTGGGGTTAAATGAGTGGTAGTGGGAATCACCTCCTTACTACCACTGGGGGTGTTTCCAGGTAAATGGGATGCCAGGGAAAGTATTTTTCAATACAAATAACTAAAAGTAATCTTATTCCAAGTTAAGAGGTAAACTTCTAAAAGTTCACCTAACTTTTATAACAGAAATATGTTGATAAACAAATTTACTGAAATTGAACACAAATAACTACCTCCTACCCCCCAGAA